CTCGCAATAACAGCAAGTATCTCGTAAGATGGGCAAAAATCATCAAAAGTTTAGAGAACTTCGGTAAGCTCTTTCACCCCTGCTTCCCTTCCGTTGAAGGCGAAAGTCGGAATTAGGAGACCAAACCATCCCTTTCAATACGTACATATCACCCACAGAGGTAACACGTTCAAAGTTCGAAAAAGCGCGGTAGTAAGGCCCCTGCTAAGGTTAGCTATCGCCGCCTGCGTTAGCTATGACCGCCCACCGCAGGTGGTGGTGCGTGGCTGGCATAGGGCGTGAAATCAGCTGGTTGATTGCCGTATCAACTGCTGGCATGGAGCCAGCAATGGTTGGCAATCGCGAGAACTCGTTCGCACAAGCTTTTCTGCTATGCCTGCCTTCTTAGCTGCTGTTAGAAAGATTCCTTTTTCCTCACTGTCGTCCCATATCGCATCGCTACACTCAGTTTCAAGCGCCAAAATATCCCAAATCGAGCCCGACTCTTGCCTTTAAGTTTACCTCGATTGGTGTGAAGAATAACGTTTTCTGGGAGCGATATGGATAAGCAGGGATGGAAAGAAACTTACTGTTCTTCATACCCTCACAGTACACTAGAAACACGTGTTCAGATAAGTCAAGAAAGAGTGTTTTTGCTGTTCCTCCCTTCGATGCTAATAACTTACTTTGAATCTTATATTTTCAACCTTCTAAACGGCTCCCCGGGGGCACAACAAAATATTTACTGGAATGCTGCTCGCAAACCACGACACCCAGTTCCAGTGGAAAATCTGATATTGAGTTTTCTAGTGGAAACTGCTTTTATACGGCACTGGTGTTTTCGATAGTCAGTTACAGATTAACGAAGCCATTTTGAAATCATTGGTGCGTAGGAGGTGTTGAGCTTTTGAGTTTGAATTTTCTTGTGGGTTATAGAACCATAAAAAATTAACTCACAATAAGCGTAACCATCATGTAAATACCAAATAGAAGTTTGAGAATAATTTTTGCAAAATCAGGCACCAAATGAAGAGGAGGCATGCTATCCGGCTCGACAAGTCTGAAATGATACCTTTTCAATTTTAGTATCGTAACTAGGGAACTTTGAAGAAGACGAAGTAGCTCCAGGCTGAGCCTGTCCATCCACGAAACAAGCTGTCATGGGTTTCGTGTTTCTTTCTCCATGCCCCACTTATCCCCAAACCTGACCCGGGTTTGCAGGTGGTTCTCCAGGTAGTAGCGAATTTCATGACCCACACCTATAGACGAACATAGCGCTTCATATATAGTAGAGATATTTCACTGACCCAAATAGTGAGAAGAAAAGCATCTCAAGCGTTTGCTCAGGAGATTTTGCAGTCAAGGAGATTCAAGGCGCATCAACTCTGCGCTGTCCTCGTCGAGTGGTTGGTAAGCAGGCTATAAAGAAATAAGCTTAGAACAACCCGAATATTGTCATCTGCTCAACAAATTTATTGATTGGAATTTTGAATTTAATTTAAAATTGAAATATTATGATTTTTATATCTAGTAATAATTCTAATAATACTTATTCCATAATTTGTGCAACGACTTTAGACAATAACTTAAGAATTTAAACAGTTCAAGAAAAAATATTCACACTGAAAAATTGAAGTTACATGTAGTTGTGAATCCCGCAACGAATAAGAGCAATAAACAAGAAAACGAGCCAAGTCGTACATAAGGTCCCTACAAATTTGACGTTGAGCGATCTACTTTACTGAACCAGCAAAACTACCTGATAATGATAGCCCATGGGCCAAACAGGTGGTGGACGGTAAGAAAATCGAGGTATTCAACGAAAGCGAAAAGAAGAGCAAAGGCAAATAGCTGATTCTGAAATAAGCGCTGTAAGTAAAGGAGGTCAATAGGCGGAAAAGTGCTGGTAGTAAAGAAACAATACCTTGAGGTACAGCATAGTTCTGGCGAAATGCAGCTTTTCGTCGTTGTCCAAGATGGGTCATGACCACTGCGGGAAGAAGAAATGCAAGCACATGCACGGCTATGGCTGCCGCTGACAGTACCAGTATTAGGACCTGAAACAATGCGAGTATGGACATTCGGACGGATAATCTCAGGGAATCCTCAACCCACCGAATCTTGGAATCAAATTTCCATCTCCTTGCTGGGCCGGAACCGCGACATCCAGCATTAGTTTCGCATACTTGTTAAAGCACAGCACACGATCAAGTAGGTAAAAATGGTTCCATTTTGCTCGGCAATGAATGTACAAACTCGCGTGAACCCGCGACAGTGAGAAATAAGAAAATGATTCCAACGACGCACTGAGAGAAGCGCTTTTATAGACTCTGAAGTTTTTAAACAGTAAAGACAGACACTGAGGCAAAGATAGCTGACGACGAGGATGAGACTGAAGGAGTTTCGAGACGCAAGATCAGAAATATAAATAAGCGAATAGACCTGTAAAATTTTTTATTTGAGTCAATCTCACGAGTGAAACTCCCCGTAACACGGTCGGTCTTATCGTTGTGATTCTTTGCCAACAATTTTTGACGCCCTTCCCTTCATAGCAAATTTCCATGCGATCCCTTCTTTAACATTAATTATTTCCCTCAAAATACCCGTCGAGGGGAGGGGATATATTAACACCGTTTGAAATCCCTAAAATCCTACTATTTCCCTTTACTTTCCTCATTTTCCCTCTATGGATTTTCTCGCGCCGCCGCCTCAACTTCTTACAAATCTGATAAACAACCTCCTCCCCTTCGTTGTACCTTGTCCAACGTAGTGACCCTTGCCCGTACTTTTGTACCCTTCACGATGATAAGATATCCAGCTGATTGCCAAGGTAGAGTGGTCATGTGAGCAGAAGTTATACGAAAAACCAAGAAAAACAACCTAGAACCCCGAACGCTGTCTTTGCTAGGTGGCTAAAGCCAGATGGCGGTAGGCGGGTGGGCAGTGGCGGCAGGGGGGGACGCGCAAGGCTAACGTCGCCTTATCTTATATCCTTCACTGCTAATAACTGCCGGTTTATGCCCTAAAAGGTCAACTTGACTTTCCTCAGGGTAGGTTTCTCTTTTTTCGAGCCTCCGTCCCATCGGTGGATTCTCTCTGGGGGCGGACGCACAACATCTACTAAAAGCCAGCTGAATGTGGCCGCGGACTGTAGGGGGACTCCTGATGATCTTGCCGTCCGAACACAAACATAAGCAAACTCTAAGCTCTCTCATCTTGATACCACGGTCAACCGTCCGTTCGCATTATTCGAGCGAGTGGAACGCATTTGTGATTTCGGAAAAGGGGCGCATTTTTTGGTTTTTGGTGGGAGTTTTTAACAAAAACAGTGAAATTACGCAATAGTCGTCAATTGCCTTCATGATACTAATTACTCACCCCCCCCCCTTCACCTCCCCCTCAGCCGGGTGTCGTTTGTGGGGAAAATGTGGGGTGGAATTGGGCATTAGGCTGCGTGGGCTGGTCTCGGAACCAAATACTATACAAACAGCCGTGGTGGTGGTCGGAGAGGGAGGAAAGGGGTAGGGGGTCATCTTGGAGGGGAGCCTTCCAAAAACTAGTGATGAAACCTTTATTACGGACGCTAACGTTCGCAACCATCCATTTCGTTTTCTAAAGGCCTCGATCCACCGCTGGAGTGTACGGCCACATTCAGTATATCAGTAGCGAATTAAGCAGAAGCTCACTCTTGATAGAGCGAGCACGAATTTGGAGTTACTCCGCAGAAATTCTACCAACCCATCTTTTCCCTCTCACGCTTACCTTGACTATTCCAAGGCCAGATCCACCGCCAACATTTGACAGTTCTGACACCAAATTACCGCTCAGCCATAACAAGAGCAGCCATTCCACGGGATTCGGAATCACGGACGTAACCTCGTACCTGAACGTTCATCTCATCGACAGTATCGCGAAATTCGAGGTGAATTCTCACATTTTATGGGTGATGTTGAGCACGACTACCGTCAAAAGGATGTGAAATACACGTGAGAAACGATATGGCAGACGAACTTGATGATTGGAGCTCGACCTGAAAAGCTCGAATCGAACGCGCATGACAAACACACGACAACAATGGACTTACCTATGCGACTATCTAAGGGAAGAGAAAAGTAAAACCAAGCCGGTGGACAGATCAGTACGAACAGAGAAAATGCAACTGTTTTTCCTGAAACAAGAGCTGAGAATATGAAAGCTGTACTGAATTGTACGCGCCGATCATCTGATGAATTCAAGAAGAAACGCTCAAAACAGAATGGAACCAAGGAGTGCCACAGTAGAGTAAACCTCTTCGGTGGGTCGCATTCGCCATGGTGTGAGAAGGGGCCAGAGGAACATAATGCGCGGAGGCCGCGGGAGTGGATTCCTAACAGGTCCGACGATGAGATCCATCCCCGCCGACGCGTTGCTGCACGACCGCCTCAAGTTGGCATTTCTGGTGGCGTGCGCGAGGCATTCATGTTGTTCTGCCATGCGTCTTCCAACAAATCCAGTGGAAGTTTTTGCTTCTAGCGGTTCGCTAGCGTCCGCGGTTGAGTTGCACGAGGCAATAGAGCGATTCGCTGACTGCTGAGCGACCGCGCACTCTAGATAATCGCTCGAATTCGCAAGTCTGACATCGGTCGATTTTCATAACGGGATATTCAGAGTAGCACACCGCTTACCAGAGAATGATCTTTGTCTTAGGATTTTTTTTTATTTTTATGAAAAGGATCAAAAGGCTGTGTGATCCACGCTAATATGACGAAACCTGGAAACGTACCAAAAGACCAGTCGACTCGTGCCGTCCAGATCTCCGTCAGATATCGCTGCACTGAAGCATATGAGACGACTTCTTCGGAAAGCGAAAGGTTTTTCGTATGACTCAATGCAAAGCAAAAGAATACGGACATATTCGAGGAAGGTATCCTTTCATCCAACAGCTAGGTGCACTACAGCAACCAAGCAAACCGACGCTAATCTCCAAGAGGTTTGTTTTTGCTAGTGAAATGGCGAGCCGATCAAGTCCTAAGCTGTCAATTAGCATTGATTACTTCAATTAGTTATCAGCTATAAACGGTCCTATGAAAGCGTCAACCTTGTGAGATTTTGTAAAAAGCGTCGAAATAATTCGTTGTTTGATCTGCACGCGACGCACCCTGCTGTCCGTATTTAAAGGCCTAACATGTACTGTACTGCGGCTTGCTTTCTAGAATTCCTTACAATTAGCATTTTCTCATCCAGCAAGGAGGGAGGGGGCATTAAGGTTTGGAGCAGTCAACGCGTTTAAAACCACGGAATGCATACTCCTTTATTGTAAACGCTTTAAGACTAATTGTAAGCCTCAGAAGAGGGGAGGAGGCCTCATGCCGCGTATCTTCGTTTTTCCCGCCCAGACGCTTCCTCTTTCCCTATCAGAATTTACCATGCCTAGCTGTTTCTCACTAGTTAATACTACTCTTCAGACAGTTATGCTATCGAAAGCACAAACAGCCACACCATTAATTTAAAGGAGGAATTCACGATTAGAATGAAGGTCGAAGAAAGGGAAACTGACCTAGTTGAGGGACCCACGGACCTCCTGGGTGCGAACTGACGCGCAATTCGCATGGAAAAATTTGACCTCGGCGACCTATCATGCCTCAAAGCTGGCGGGTCCGGCGATCTCCGCCCACCGATCATCTGATCACTCGCCGTAGTTCAATACGTGGCGAGTGATTAGATAGCTGAGAGAGCGTAGTTGAAGAGGGCACAGCGATGAGAGTCGCATCAATGCTCGAATCAACGGGCAAGGAAGGGGTCCATTTCTCGGGTTCTGGGCCGTTTCTCATGGTTCTTCCTTCTTTCGTGTACCACTCACCATCCCTAGGTTAATTTGAAATGGGTTGCTTTTTCATCGTGAATTCGTCCTTTAAAAATTGAATAACTTCGTAAAGTTTAGATGGCTCTGGCCAACTCGCAATTAGAGCAAAACTGTGTGCTCTCTGGCCACCTCTTACCGGGTTGAGTCCCTTCCATGGTTTGTAAAATACTTCCCTGTTTTTCTTTTATTCCCACAAACCTGCTCGTTTTCAATGAGAACATCGAGCAGAGGTCGTCCTCGATTGTCTTTGGCTTTGAGTAGAATGGCTGCATTGTACTCGGTGGCAGTTATACTGAGAAGCTCCACAGCCATGTTCTCAGAAAACACGGCCACATTGGAAAGGTCTTTTGCTCGCTCCTTCTCTTTCTCCGACATATCCCTGCAACAGAGTTCGAAAAGGGATCTCTTCTGAAAGTTGTGAGGATGTTTGGAACTCACCTGTAGAGGGCTGACAGTTTCACAGCGGTATCTATCGGAGCTGGGCTTTGGAGAATGAACTCCTGCAGTGGTTCGTTGTCGTTGCCTTTGCCGCAAACCTGAAGAAGACTGTTCATCAGTTGCGAGCCGGGACAGAGAAACGAGGAACTCGACCATCAAGTCGAAAACGAATCGGCGATCCTCCATGAGCTGATGGGTGTCGTGTTTCTGCTTCAGAAGGAACCGCAAGCATTCGATATGATTGTGCGCTGCCGCGAAGCACAACGGCACCTAAAATATGAACACTACATTGCTGTTTCGTCGACCCATAGCTCTCCCTTTGACACCCAAACAGGTTCAACCGTACGTTCGCGCTATTCGAACGAGGGAGCCGCATTTGTGGTTGCGGGACCGGGAGGGGGGTGGTCGCATTTTGGCTCAACCCCAAAATACCCCTCACCTTTCCGCAATCACAAATGTCACAAAATCGCAGTTATCTTAGCGGTTGGCGGAGGTCGGCAAAACGGGTTGTGTTGGAAGGGTTTTTTTTTGACGAATCTGGTGAAAGTTTGAAGCATGTTTCATTTGAAGTAGTGGGAATTAGGAGAAATCGGTGAATTCGTGATACCAATTTACTCTACCCCCCACTCGTCTTGGAGGTGAAAATGGGCGGAGCTGGGCTGTGTCAACTGGTCTCAGAATCAAAAACATTTCTGGCTGATGATGGTGATGGGGAGGTGGGGGGGGGGGGTGTCCCAACATTTTTGGAAAAGTGTGAACGTGGCGGTTAAAGTCTCCAACGGTACATCGAATCGGTTTCAGCTTACCTTCCCTTCCTTTGTCTCCGCCAGCTCATCGGCAGAACTCTTCACGAAGAGTTTTACGACATTGAGATGGCCAGCTTTCGTGGCAAAATGCATTCCAGTCCAGCCATTCTGAATCACAACTACTGCGATGCCTTCTTGAGAAAGTACCTCAGGACAAACCTGATCCATGACGTTGATGTTCGACCCTTGAGCAATCAGCAGCGAAACCATCTCGTAGTGACCATTCATAGCAGCGAGATGAAGTGGAGTTCGTCCTCGCCAATCCTGGAAACAATTAATTTCTCATGATTACACATGCCATGCTACCTTCAGGATCGCCCACCTTGGCGTGTTGCTGTTGAGTGGACCGGGACAAGAGCATACCGACGACTGCAATGTGACCTTGCTGAGCGGCCAAGTGCAAAGGGATCACATTCTAAAATTCATTTAGAAGTAATGGTATAGACGCTGTACCTGTGCGAGAGTTTAAGGACTAAGCCTGAACGGAGAATCGGCATTTAATTGGAGAAAATAAGATTTGCTTACGACTGAAATCCTACCGGCCACCGCGTTTATCCCCCAGGGTCCTGAACTGAACGTTTTCTTGTGATGTGCTGAAGTTTTTACATGCGCTGGCCCCACCCCGAGCCACATTGCACCTCAAGTCGGTAACTATTTGACGTTTCTGACCCTTAGAAAAATGAAATTTTTGCTTTTGGGAGTTCGGTTGTGAGGCTGTTTCCTCTTCCTACATTGCCAAAATCTTCTCAACATCTACCACAGAACGGCACTTTACGGTCAATCTTTATAGAGAAGATGGGGATGGCTACTGGGAAGGATTGAGGACCTTGAGAGAGACCACGAATTTGCTTATTGATCTTTTTCAAGGGTTCTCACAATCTACTAATGTGGCAAGGCGCTGCCCGATTGCAAAAATGGAAAACCAAATCGTAATTGGCTGTAAACGAAGAAAAAAAAAAATCAGCAAAACGAGCAACCCTGAGAATGTGAAAGATAGGTGATCTAGAGTGTGACGGTTGTCTCGTTGGTGTCAGCTCGCGTCAACTGTCGCGGGAAACGAGGAGGTATGCCGTGTTTGATTCCGGCCATGTGGAGTGCCTATTTGTGGCGCACGGACTTTTGGCTCGTCCGGTCTGGCACGCGGCAAATTGCGCGGCGAGCGGCGCGGCGATCCGGACGCTTTGCAGGAACTCAACACGTCAAAGCGTGTGAAGACTGCGGATAAAATCGACGAAGAAGAAACGTATAATGTATGCTATACGCAGATCAGGGCGCTATGTGTGGTGGCGTGTTTATTTAGGGGGGGGAGGGGAATGAGCCAATTACTGTGTTTGGAACCGAGCCTTAGGGAGGAGAATGCATTCTGGGGTAATTTGTGTTCTCTCCTGGCGTTCCTCCCCTCTGCTGGGAGTTCGTTTCCAATGTTTCTCCTTGGGACATGAACGCCTCGATCAGCAGAAACATATAACATTAGAATACCTCAACAAAAACACCTAAATTTATTGACTCTTGTTTGCTTTGATGGTAGTAGTGACATTTCCATGAAGGTCCTCACTCATATCCTTGCGCTGAAACCTCACCGATACTGCTGCTTCAAATCTCCGCGAGCGGAAACATTTTCAAACAGCAGAATCATGCGGAGTTTATCCGCAATCTGCACACGGTTTGACGTGTTGAATTCTACTCGAAGCACCCGCGGAGCCTTGTCTCGTCCAGATCGCCGCGCGTGCCGCCGCGCAACTTGCCGCGTGCCAGTCCGGACGAGCCAAAAGTCCCGCACCCGAAAAATTTTGCCCGAATCGGCAGTCTTGTTGATAACCGGCAGATGAAGTTTCCTGCAGGTTATTTCTGTTGCTGCAACAACGGCGAGAAGCGTCCACGCGGCCGTCCTCAGTACGTTAAGTGAGGCTCTCCAGCTTATACCCCAAAACGTATGTTGATCGTGTCCCCTAAAGGTTTGTTCATTGGGACAACCATGAGCTCAGACTGGACAGTGGAAGAGGAGTTGGCGGACCTGCGCAAGCTGACAGCCAAGCAAATTGGCACGAGGTCGCTGTAGGCGTCGTCGTTCCAAAATATTCTTCATTAAGTAAGCACTGTACATAGGTCTAAGGCTTATAACATGTCTTCGAAAAATTGGGGCTATGGACAAATGAAAAAAAATAAGTCCGCTAGGGCGCGCAAGGACAGCGAAATGGTTTCTGGTATCCCTGCCACCCACTTTCGAACTGTGAAATCGACACAACCTAGCGACTGTGGAGCGTGGTCCCTATAAATCTGACTGTAAGGGGTGCTTCCGCTCAACTGAGCACAAATGTGACGCTCTCAACGAACTCGCTCACCTCGTGGTACCCTGCAACCTCACTGCAAAAAGCTTTGATAAGGATATGAGTGGTCTGGTCTGACCCCAAGTAAACTAACCATTGTTGTACTTGTCGCGTCCACCTGCACGCCCTGATTGAGCAACATTCGCACGAGTGAGTCGTGACCGGACTGAGCAGCCAAATGCAGTGGAGTGAATCCGTACTAAAGCAGGAAAATTAGCAGTTATGTCGAAAATCTGGAGAGTGGCTTGATACCTCGGTGGCGAACTCTTTCACGACATGATGGTTATAGATCGGCGGTTCAGAGCGAATTGACGCTGGCACGCTCTTCAGCATCTCGTTGACGAAATCCGAGTTACCGTAGTAGGCAGCAATGTGCATAGCGTTCAGACCAGTCTAAAAGATGTTTTGTCTGCTACTGCTAAATGGAGACCTCAGAATCACTTTGGAGAAAAGGGCACACCTTTTTTGAACACCGCCTCCACAGAGTCTTATCGAAAGCTTCAAGGATTGAGACGAACCCGTTTTTAGCTCCCAAGTGCAATGCAGTCATTCCATGCTGAATTTGTGAATCATCTCACATTTAATCGGCTAACTTTTTCACTCAATGAAACTTACGGCGTTCTCGTCTTCAGCATTAGCTCCATTTTCGAGCAGGATTTTGACTATGTTCGCATGTCCTCCAGCAGCAGCCATATGCAGCGTGGTAGCCTTAAAGGCACGGGTCAGGATTGAATTAGTGTTTCATTTTGTTTGGAAATTCGACAAAGAGTGCAAGCGGAAAGTGGGTGAGGAGAAAAAGCAAAAAGCGCCACAGAAAACGCTAAATTTCCCTGGAAGTCGACTGTGGTACGACGGAGAGACACAGCGCTGCG